CGAAACATACTTTGGCCAAACTACAGTTTCCGGAACACTCTAGCGTTGTAGACTTATAGCCTATTCTCTGTTTATAACCCACCAAGATAGCTTTTGTATAAGACCATCCTTTTAAAATTCTCTCGCGGCAACTAACTGCGCCTATGTCACTTTTAAGATTCCGTACCCAAAATTCACTTAGAATAGATTTCTCCCTCCCCGGGCAACCCGCCATCATGCTGATATATATTAAAACTCCTGACATTAACCACTACCTACAAAAGTGCAGCATCTATTTGATTTTATATGATAAATGAGCGCCTCCTGTAATATATTAAAAATATCACCTGCCCTCCCCCTCACCGGATGTGTTGTATAATACACACGCGATGTAATAGAATTATAAAAATCACACAATATATTCATCCCGCCCCCAAATTAAGAAACATGTATATTAAGATTGTATAATACACAATCAGAGTGACGTTTTAAAATATTCCACCCCCTAACTACATTGTAAATATTGCATAATGCAAATATAGTTTCAATAGAGGGATAATACCCCCAATTACACATACACATAATGTGTAACACACATTAAAGCTGCAATAGATGTGCCATACCACACGATCCCCGAATCAAGCACGATATCGTGACAATATCACGTGATCTATGAAGATTTACAGCCAATCGAGTCTCGCGCGGATCACGTGCCGTGACCACCTTAAACGATGACCGGCGTCAAGAAATGTTGTTATTGTTGTTAAGCGAGTGGCCGGCGTGTAGAATCAACTCACGCTATTTGCTCGGGCATTTATCATTCTGATTGATTGGTTAGATATTGGGGTACAAAACTCAGAATATTATCTATGCTATTTTTTTTATATGGTCAGAATTGTCCCCTCCCCCCCCCCCCCCACTCCGCTCATCTTTTTGGGGCCTTGCTAGAAAATAAAATTTGAAGTATATAGGGGGCCAATATATATATATATATATATATATATATATATATATATATATATATATATATATATATATATATATATATATATATATATATATATATATATAAAGAAAGAGAGAGAGAAAGACTACAAAATTACGTGAAGTTTTCAATGAATTATATAAGAAAAAAATATATATATAACATTATAGACACACAAAATTAATTTACTACCAGAGCATACAGGAAATGGTGTTATCATTTACAGCAGGGGTTCCCAACCCTGTGCCTGCGTGCGCCATGGCGCCCGCCGAACGATTCGCATGTGCCCGCCTCTCACTATTCGACAGAGACAGAATTTTTTTCATAAACATTATTGAAAGGTTGAAGGGGATGGGAATCGAAAGTTTGAGGTGGGAGGGGGGGGGGGGTGCAAATCGAAAGTTTGAGGGGGGGGGGGGCTGCAAATCGCTACGCCTCTGGAAGGAGTTTGTCGTTTTAAAAAAGGTGGTGCCCGCCGCCCTACCGATATTTTAGAATGTGCTCTAGAGTGAAAAAGGTTGGGAACCCCTGATTTACAGTCTATGTGATAATCAATGTTTCTTTCAGGGGGAGGCTTTTATGTCACCCCCACCCCGAAAAAACTCGTCTACCGCCGCTTCCCCCCCCCCCCCCCCCCTCTCCCCCCTAGTAAAAAATTGTATATAGAAAAACAAAACAAAAATTTAAAAAAATATTCTGAAAAAAAAGACTACACATAACCCATTTTTTTTTGTATCGACCGTATGTAGCACGGTCTTGCAAGCTGTTTCCCAAAACATTTTTTTAACAAACAGATGTACTTTTTGTATTACTCGAAGCTTATGCGTGAGGTTTAATTTGTTTTGTAGCTAGCTGAATATACTGCATGCTGTTTTTGAATCGACCGCGGAAATTGAAGTCCATGACTAAGTTAAAGTAACATGTGTTGGATGAAACAACTAAAAAAAAAAACATTAGTCCCGTGAAGTCCAAAAAGTTGGATTTAGTTACAACGAAAACAAATTTACCATTAATTAAAAATTGGTGCTTGCTATTTAAGTCCACGTAATCTGATGTAAATAAAGGAATGCTAAAAATATATTTTACTATACGTGCTGTTTCAAGCAACTAAAATTCACACAGGTTAGCTATTATATCCTACCTAGATCTTATAATGAACTGTGATATTTTTTGTGTATTTTTAGGGATTAAGGTTAAATATATATGAATGACTGGATAGAGTATACATTCTTAATACAAGGAGGTGAAAGGTTAGATTTTGTTATATTGTGTGTAGGGCTGGTAAGTAGGTCACCAACCAGTTCTATGGCTCATGCAGGTTTTATTGAGCCGTAGAACTGGTTGATGACCTACTTACCAGCCCTATAGGGAAGAGACAACAGACAATAGTGTCGAGTGATTGTTGGTTCATGACTGTTGACCAAAAAGTCCCGAGTTCGAACCCGCGGTGGATGAGGCTCGATAGCTCGGGACAGCAACTCATCTGAAGACAAAACTCCTAAATCGAGCAACTAGAGTAGTTTGTTCTTGGCTGGACAAACGTTATTGAAGCTAATAAAGAGAAAGAAAAGCAGGCTGAAATCTGAGTCAACGGCCTACATGACGCATAATAAGTTGACACGTAATACTTAATTTTGTTGGCGGAAATCCGTTCCAACATTACAACTAAGAGCGAAAAAGAAGTGTAAATGTTCTGATGCCATTCATTGTTTTTTCTATCGAAACGGAAATTTAGGCTAACGTTTTAAATGAATTTGTTATCACGACAGTCCTACGCAATATTTATGTAATCATAATGTAATGGACTTTATGTACTCCTTATGTGTAGCTTTGTATATGGGGGTTAACCAATCAGCTTAAGAGTACTTTCTATAAAATTATGTGGTTTAAGTAATTATTTTTATAAAAAACCAAGAATGTAATTTTTTGAAGTGTGTTTTCTACATATTCATATAGCCAATTGAAAGTGCTTATCTGTGTAAATACTGTGTAAAGTTTCATGAAGTTGGGGATAGATAACAAATATCAAATATAACATTTTTAAATGTTTTTTTTAGCCCTGCGTACTATAATCTAGACTAAATTTATTTGTTCCTTATAAGTTTAAAAACCGGAGTTTGCCTTGCTTAAGGTTAGTTAAATGTAGTGGTAGAACGTAATTTTTTTTTAAACTATAATTTCCGATTCAGTTTCTGTATAATTGGCGGTTGCCAAGCTTCGGATTATTTTATCCCTTGAGTCATTGATCTCTCTACACGGAAACCATAAAACTGTATAATTTTTCGATCGAATTAACTCCCCTTGCGGGTTAAAAATTTTTTTGCCCGATTTACGATTCGGCTCCAAAATATGTTTTGATGTCTGGCGAACGTATGCTCTCCTTGGCTAACATACATCTCAATTAATGAATTTTGTTGCCAGGGGGTATTTTTTTAGCCTTAAATTATTCTTGACCTCATCATATTAATTACATGTGTACATTTTTATAAAAAATGTGTTGCCTTGGAAATAAATAAGCGTGTCTAGCTTTGTTCAACAGCTTGATGATCATTTGTTTACATTAGAATTTTTTTCCATTTGATTAAGTTTTCAGTACAAAAACGGAAAGCGTAAATGTAAATTGGGGCAAAATAGATATCAACGTGATAACATCAAATTATTCTTCAAAGTTGTTTTATTCTCGAAAATGAATTTAAATCTATGATATAGTTCACTAAATGTCAAAATAATCTTAAAGTATTTTTAAATGTTTTTAATTCGTCAATATTTTCGCACAAATAAAATTTTATACTTAACTTGAGCTTCTAATTGAAATAAAAAAAAACCAACATGTTTTATTAAATTCTAACTAAAACTAGAATACAAATCAATCCTATTTTTTAGCATCAGACATGTAATTTACAGCTATAGATAATTTTTTAAAAAACTATTTATTTAGTGTCATACTAAACTTTCCCTAAAAAAAGTTATATATATATATATATATATATATATATATATATATATATATATATATATATATATATATATATATATATATATATATATATATATATATATATATATATATATATATATATATATATATATATATATACGTTTTAGGTTACTTCCCTTGATTATAAATTTTCTGTTGTATTCGATGCAGTCTGAGACCATCACGTACTAAGGATGACTATCGGAAAAGTAATTAGATAACAATTACCGAAGTCACGTCATGAAGCCATTTAGTTTGTTTCGTTGGTAAAGTAAAAAAAAAATCCGAGTTGAACTTTTTAAATTTAAATGTGATATTGAATCTTTGGTACCACTCGCTGGTACCGATAAAGGAAAGGTAAAGTCTAGAAGTTAATGATAAGTTAAAATTAACTTCAATAGTATATTAAGCTTATGTGATTGGTTGAAATTTTAACAAACTTTAATAATAATTAGGAGAAAATAAATAAAAATATACTTTGGTGACTGAGTGATTAAAAATGGGTGTCAAAACTAATATTTTGAAACTGTACAATTGCTGAATAGAAAACAAGGGATGATGCTGATCATCATTTTATGAAGAAATCGATCACAGAATAAATAAAAATTCTTTGATACGAGTAGCATCCCTTTGTGAAAAAAAAATAATATTTTGTATCAGCGGTATTTTATATTTAATTACGATTTATCTTTAGTATATTTTTAATATATTTACATGTTTTCAAAAATATACATTCCTACTAGTTGAAATGTTGAGTGTTAAGATATATAAGATACGATATAATAGTTAGACAATACATAATATTTTATTCTGTTTAAAAAGGAAGATGTAGCTTTTTATTCAAACACTTTATTTCAAGCATCTCTTCAGGGTTGGGGGGGGGCGGGGGAGAGGGGAATTAATTTACACCCCACCCTAGCATGAAATAGAATAAGCCTACATTACATACAACACACTAGTTATCTCCTACCACCCCTACCCCAGGATGAGATAGAAAAAACATTCATTATATAAAACATTCAACTATTTACTTATCTCAAACCCCCTTTCCTTCCACAGTTTCTGAACAAGTTCTATCTCTTTGCTCCGCCCCTGATTGCCGTGACCGCTATCATAGGGAACGTCCTGGCCTTCTTCGTCTTTGTCTCCAAGCCACTCAGGAGAACCTCTTGCAGGTAGGTCAAGGTCACACTGTTTACATCACGTGGTAGGTAACTTAAGACAAGTTCCCTTTCTAGCCTGACGGCCCTTTGGGGTTTGTGAAGTAGAGTTCCCCTATTTCTATAACCTCGGCTCATGTAAGTATACTGTGGTCAACACTATGCACATTCGCCTTTACATCAGTTGACCATAACTCGAATGGACCCACAGACGAGCTACGATTCTAGCCAGGGACTCGAGACTTCCGGGTTAGAAGTCGAACGCTCTACCATTCGACCACTCCATGCTATCGGTTTTAAAATTAATTTTTTGAGGTAATGAAGACTAGATGACTAAGTCCCGTTTCCATTATCTTAATATGAAATGACGGAATTGTTCATGCACATTTATATTTCGATGCACTGTAAAGATAATGTTAACTAGAACGATGATGCACATAGATAACATAGGTAACTCCAACCTATAAATGAATAGCATTAATTTAGCTTACTGGGCTATATACTATCATTTGCTTACTTCAACGTGTTGCATACAAGTTCAAATAAATTGTTATCTTTCATAAGCAACTTTCGAGTTTTTCGCGAATATATAGGCTTACTTTTTTCAATGAGTCGTAATAAACTTGACAAATCATGACGCACTTTTTGCTACAGGTATAAAAATAAGAAAAAAATCGGAAAGCAATAGCGTCACATGTGTGTATGTGGGGGGGGGGGGCTGAATGAGTACACCACACCAGATATCACTTACTATCTGGAAGCATCATAACGCAGATACTTAAGCATGAATAAGTGGCTAGTTCAAATTTGCGAAGTTACTTTCAATGCACTGTCCAGATAAGTTATTTACAATGACTGGAAAATTAAGTTTTAACAATTTATCAATGTCCCGATTAAGCACCGACTATTGCGTTGACATTGAGTATTATCTAAACAAAAGTTAAATCTAAGCTACAATATTTGCCGATAAGAGTTAATTTCATTATTCACAACTCATAACATAAAAAAAAAAAATGAAAACTAATAATTTAAAAAAATATGTATTTGAAGTAATTTCGGTCACCCCCCCTCCCCAAACCCCCGCCCCCTCCACGTTTCAGCTGGTACCTGGCAGCAAGGTCGGTGTCTGACGGTGGGTTCCTGGTCTTCTATCTGCTGGGGTGGCTCTCTGACGTCTTCAGGCTCGGCTACTTCCATGTCGACGGGATATGCCAGGTCAGTTGATGATGTCATAGAGATATGTCAGGTCAGTTGATGAAAGTCATAGGGATATGTCACGTCGGTTGATGACGTCATAAGGATGAGTCAGGTCAGTTGATGACGTCATAATCACGTGTCAGGTCGGTTGGTGACGTCATAGTGTTGTGCCAGGTTCGACGATGACGTCATATTGATTTGTCAGGTCAGTTGATGACGACAGCGGGATGTGCGAGGTCAGTTAATGGTCTCACAGGATTTTGTCTTGTGAATCGATGGCGTCATAGGGATGTGTTAAGTTAGACGTCATCTGCACTGTAGAATGTCAAGATATACATGGGGGAGGTGGGGGGGGGGGTAAAACACAGCAGCCATGGGCTATATTATTATCATCAAATTAGTGCCCTTCGTTGTAATGTTGAGTTAGTTTAAAAAATGATCAATCATCACACGGACTCAAGACACAGTGAATCAAATAAAATACAAGAGAATTCGTGTTAAACCGAATAGTGTCAGCTGTTGTTTTTTTATTATCTACCACATCACCTAATACTATGAACAGTGGCAGGGGAGGTTAGGGGGGGTCATAAACCCACGCCCCCCCCCCATAGACCCCTCGGTATATAGAAAAAGTAAGAGGGGGGGTGCAAATCGAAAGTTTGAGGGGGGGGGGGTGCAAATCGAAAGTTTGAGGGGGGGGGGGTGCAAATCGAAAGTTTGAGGGGGGGGGTGCAAATCGAAAGTTTGTCCCCGGGTAAAAATTGGAAACCCCCTTGAGACGATCCTGGCTACGCCACTGACCATGAACACTACAGACAGTCATCCGTAATGACAATCATTCTATAAACTACACACGAGAAATGGATGAGAAAAAGTTAAGTATCACTTTAACATTACGGTTCATGGAGAAGGTTATATAGAATTTATCCGTGTCTACAATATCAGCATCAGAAGAGTCAATCTGTTCTACATTATAGCCAACCGCCTTTATTTTCCCTGAGGTAGTCTAGGTACCCAAAAGAGCTGGATTGGCTCAAAGATCGTCTAAGGTTGCCAGTCCAGGATTCCAACTCGAGACTTTCGTCTCCAAATGAATATAAAATTAACTATTTTGTTATCTCCTTAAGGCTAGCACAAGAAGAAGGCATTGTTTTTATATTTTAAACTACTACTAACCGTCGGATAAACCGTAAGACTTCTGACTATTTAATCTAGTAGATTATGGTTTTAAAAATTTTTAAATAGTTTTTAAAAATGCATTATTTCTAAATGTAGAAATTTGAAAAAAAAAGAACAATCGTTTTGTTTTGTTTATAAATATGTGTTGAAATTATTTAAAATGTATTGTTTCCCTTGCAATCAATTCTGGTTTGATGTGTTTTCTTATTGTCTGCAGACAATAATCTTCATGAGCTTCTTCTTTGCGTTCATCTCTGTGTGGCTGACTGTGGTGGTTACAGTGGAGAACTACATCAGAATATGCCGGCCATTTAGGTACCTCATTTAAATTGTTTTTACTTAAACTTTAATTTTTGGGGACCGTTTTATTCGAATTCCTTTTGTCAGTGTAATTTTAATATTTCGCCATTGGTTCATTTTACAGGTGTTGATTTTTTTTTTAATATAAGTTCATTAAACCTTGAATCATAAAGATAAATGTTTACCTGTCTATAGTAATCATACGTGTATAAAAGTCCTTGAATACCGACACTCACATTTAATAAATTCGGCTTGTCCAAATCACGTAGCATAAGTACATTGATATGTATATATGTATATTTTATATATATATATATATATATATATATATATATATATATATGTATATATATATATATATATATATATATATATATATATATATATATATATATATATATATATATATATATGTTTATGTTTCATATCTTTTAATATTTTTTTCATTTTCTCTGTAGCGTCCAAAAGTTTTGCAATACTATTATAGCAAAGCGAGCTATCGTGGGCCTGTTTATCATTAGTATAGCCTTCAACAACTTCCATATTTGGATCACCAAGGTGACGTACGCTACTAGAGGCAACAACACGACCACAGCCGTTTGCTTAACAAAGCTAGAATATGCCATGCTGGATAAGGTCAGTTGTTTCTCTTTTTAGTATCAGTTAAATCTGGATGTCGGAGTGCTGGATTGAGTTGTCTCATCATTGGGAACAGTTGGGAAGAGGTGTATTTTTGTTAGAGACGTTTTAACACAAAATAAAGCTGTTTAATTTTGTAGTATTCCAAGATTTATGGCACAAGCAAATAATGAGGGATTGCACAGAGGCGTATGTAGGGGATGTAGTGAATGAAGATGATGAAATATTTATTTATATATATATATATATATATATATATATATATATATATATATATATATATATATATATAAATATATATATATATATATATATATATATATATATATATATATATATATATATATATATATAAATAAATAAATAAATAAATAAATAAATAAATAAATATATATATATATATTTATATATATATATATTTATATATATATATATATATATATATTGTAGAATGGTAGAGCTAACAACTGCTTAGCTCAAAGTCTTGTGTTCGGATCCCGGGTTGGAATTCAAGAAGTCTAACCAGCTCTGATGAGTATCTCTCTGAAACAATGGCGGCTTTGCATACACAATCGTCTTGTATTCAGAGGTCATTGAAACAGATGAAATCTACTTCATCTGCCCCGGTTTATTATTTATATAGCCATAAACGCTACATAACTTACGTCGAAACTTGGTGCCTTTCTTTATCAGCTCGCCGAATAAATGTTTTGTGCGTTCAATATCTTCCACTCTGTCTACTATAAACCTCTAGTCTTAGTGTTTCTGTATTCTCAAAACTGAACTATTCATTAAAGACCATTCACTAAAAAGCTAACGTAGATTTCCTTGTATTTAACTAACCTGACATTTGACGCAACTCTCAACAAGAAAAATGCTCACTCTCGTTCGATGAGTTAAATATTACACAATTATTAACACAGACTGCCCTTTTATATAGACAGTGTGAGTATACTTCACATGCTTTTTAGGTTGTTGAATTAATTGTTGGTTCTTGTAAAGTACGATGTTGCCTTTGGTGGAATTTTTTTAAAATGTGTGAACTACGTTATTCAACATAAGGTTAACTTTACAATATACTTGTATAGTTCGCGTGGGTTCGACTGTCTGGTGTACTAAGTTCATATAGATGGTATTGAAATATATTGGGGTTCAGTACTGGTTAAGCTAAATAGGTGGCCGAAATAACCTGCGTGTGTGTGGGGGGGGGGGGGGGGGGGGTAACCATATGTTTGAAGGAAATTGTGTATTTTGTGTAATTTTTCAGTATTTTTTGTGATAAGAAAGATGTAGTTTTTGTATACAAAAAAGTGTGCTTTTGTAGAAAAAAAAATGTATGTTTTTTTGGGAGAGAACAATTAAAAAGAAAAGTAATGTGAGTGTTAAATAAAGTAGGTTATGATTTCTTGAGGGATAACGTTTGTTTTACTGAAATGTAAACTTGGTTTCTCATGGACTAAATTGCTTAATTTCGAAATAATCAAACTCGGTATGTAATATTATGAGGTCTTCATAAAAAAAAAGATGAGATTTATTCTGATAAGTGGCTGTGTTATGGGAAATAAGATAGCCCGCTGTGTATTTTCTTTGGGTTTTTTATGTTGCCGCGATGTATAAATATGAACAGGCTTGATGGATGGATGGCTTATGAAACCCCAGTCTACACCCTGCGTGTCAATAATCACGTGATAGGGCCGTCGCGTGGCGATGATGAGCCGGGTCATCAGCGTCAGTGAGATCGTCTTAAGATGTCAAGTGAGATACGATGAGATAAAATGAGATACGATGGAATCTTAGGAAGGTGGGGGATGAGGGATATAAAAAGTTAAACGAGACAAGAACGGAGTTAACTACATTTTAGATGTGTTAATTCTGTCGAGAATTAGATTGTCTCGCCTATTCAACTTTTTAAATTTTTTTTTAAATAGGATCAAAAGTTTATTAGACAAAAAAGAATGTACTTTTCCAAATATTTTTTTCTTTCTTTTTTTTCGCCTCAGACATGTAATTTACAGCGTCAGTTTGCCTTGCATGTTCGCTTAAGTATTACAGTTTTCATCATCGGCTTGTGAGAACTGATACAGATTTACAATTGTAATATTTCTTTCTTACGTTTAAAAAGTTAACTTTTCCAAATAACTTTTGATTTTTGCTATAAACATAATGTACAGAAAAACTTGATGATTAAAGCAAAAGATTATGCAATTTAATGACAAACATTTTAATAAAGCGTGAAGTGAGTTGTCTTAGTCTTTCTCAAATATTCTTTAATCTAAGAATGAGTAGTGTTGGTACTTCCAATAGAACCGGGATATATGGAGGCTATGTGTTTAAAGCTCTCGTGTTTCGAGGAAATACATACAGCCAACAAGTTCTTACACAGCTTTATACGAATACATTACAGATAATCACATTCTGACTCAAACAGCACATGCATAAAAAACTTAAAATTGAGTAAGGCGAAATTTGCCCATGTGGCATGGCCCCGGAGAATACGGAACACGTCCTTCAGGACTGTTCCTTATATAGCCAGGGGCGATCCAAACACTGGCCCCTATACACCCCACTCAAGGGAAAACTGTATGGGGCACCCGCTGATCTGGAGACCACAGTCCAGTTCATACACAAAGTTGGGCTTGTTGTTAAATCCTTCAGCATAAACGAAATTAAGAACGCAGAAGAAGAAGAAGACATTCTGAAGATTCTTGAGAAATTGAAAGTAGAATTAAGTACAGCTTTTCGGTTTTAGATATATGTTTTTCCCGAATTTATTAAAAACAAATTGATGTAAATAATGAATTTGGAATTCTTGCTGTAGATAGCCTGGCATAGGATAGTGAGATGGGCATTTCTGGCAACTCAATCCAAGCCAGTTTTTTTTTCTCATTGCACCGAATGATGGAACTGATGCCATAAGAAATGATTCCTCTTCGATCCAGCCGTTTTAAAGATTCAGATTTCACGATTTTATCAATAATTCGATAAAAAATCCAACGTTTCTTTGGCTTATTGACTGTGTTGCTATTTCTATACGTTGAAATAAAAGTGTTTTTTTCTTATGAGTGGATTCTTGCTTGTACCCCCCCCCCTCCAAACTTGCGTTTTCTAAACCAGGAATACCAAAGTACAGCGATGCTCTGAATACAAGCTATCTCTTACACTCTGTCTTTATACTCCACTCCCCTCTCTATCATCCACTCCCTTTCTCCATATGTCCCTCTCTTCCTGCCTCCAATCTCCTCTCTGTCATCTTCTTCCTCTCTCCGTATGCCCCCCCTCTCTTTCTCTCCACTGCTCTCTATCACCCTCTTCCTCTCTCCAAATGCCCCTCTCTCTTTCTCTCCACCCCTCTCTCCACCCAATCTGCCACCCTCTCCCTCTCTCCATATGCCCATCTCTCTTTCTCTCCACCCCTCTCTCCACTCAATCTGCTACCTCTCTCCCTCTCTCCATATGCCCCTCTCTCTTTCTCTCCACCCCTCTCTCCACTCAATCTGCTACCTCTCTCCCTCTCTCCATATGCCCCTCTCTCCCTGTCCCCACTCTCCTATCTGTCACCCCCTCCCTCTCTCCCCAGTACCAGACAGTGGAATATCATGTTACCCAGCGCATGTTCTACTCCTACATCACGCAATTCCCCAATTTCAAGTCATACCAGAACCACATTTGACCATTCCGATACCGATAATTCCAATTATAATTTGCGTGGGTATTTTTCTTGAAATACCGACACTAATAACTAGTGTCATAGTCATGCCTTAGTTAGCCTATCACATACACTCACATACACGTACACTCAAATACACATACACATACACATACACTCACATACACATACACTCACATACACATACACTCACATACACATACACTCACATACACATACACATACACTCACATACACATACACATACACATACACATACACTCACATACACATACACTCACTAGTAACATAACAGAGAGGATGATCTTATATTGCCATATATATGTTACTATGAGATAGGTAACACCTAAATAAAGAATTCAATTATTAAAAAGCATGGAATTTTTTTAAACAGACAAATAACTCCAACGTTTTTTTTTTTAAACTTTTTTAAAAATAGTTTCAGCAAATTTGTTTACTAAAAGTTTTTTTTTTGTAATTCGCCAATTTATTTTGTAAAATATCTTTAAAAAGTATTACACTTATTGTTTTTAAAGATCTTAAAAAAAAATAATCTCGCCAATATTTCTTTTGTAAAAATCATTACTAAGAAATGTTGCCTTATTTCATTTTTAAAATATGTGTTTCTTAAAAAAATTGTGTTTATTTCTTTTGTAAAATATATTTTTCTAAAAAGTAAATTATACCAATAATTACTTCTTATAAGAACTATTTCTAAATAAATCTCTCCGGTTTCTTTAGTAAAAACGACTGACTGATATGTTAACCTTTCAGTGGGTATCCCTGGCTGATAACGTGGTCACCATGTTCGTTCCCTCCATGGCCATCATAATCCTCATGATCGCTATCACGTTCAGCCTCATCAAGAGCCTCAAGCGACAGTCTCGGCTTCAGGGCGGGGCGTCCAGGAATGCTGGAACTAACGGTCAGCCGACCGGAAGTGCAAGGTCACACCGATCCAACACATCGCCACAAGCTAAGGTACGTGGATCACTTCTTGTTTCAACCAGTTGTAAGTGTAATGTTGTATTCCTCGAACATGCAAACAGTTCCATTTTAAGCTTTAAAAAAAAAATAAGTGTCTAGCTGAATTCAGCCCAGAAAGTGGTGTACGATATAGGTATGGTTAACTTTTCACATCAAGCTATTAAAATACATCCGGCTATAATAAAAGTAGTTATCATATTCTTGTAGGTACAATGGCCTAATTTCTCTCCCTCTCTCCTCTCTCTCTCTCTTTCTAATTATATATATATATATATATATATATATATATATATATATATATTTATTTATTATATACATTATTATATGCATTATTTTGTATATTTCAGGTGACTAGGATGCTGTTTGCTGTATCGTTTTTTTTCATCTTGCTCAACGGACCAAGCCACATTATCCGCATGCAACACATCATCATAACCTACAGCTACCCGACAACAACCGAATTGCCAACTGCTGCATCCATTGAGCAGCAGGTGCAGTTAATCTTCAATGTAAGACTCTTCTCTTTTACGACCTGAACAGCATAGAATTTCTGCACTGTAATTCAATTGCTCTAGGAAATTAAATATACATATGTTATATTTATAAAGAGATGAGATGATACCCAACCCAACCCAGCCCTAACCTAGCCTAGCCTAGCCTAGCCTAGCCAAGCCTAGCCTAGCCTAGCCTAGCCTAGCCTAGCCTAGCCTAGCCTAGCCTAGCCTAGCCTAGCCTAGCCTAGCCTAGCCTAGCCTAGCCTAGCCTAGCCTAACCTAACCTAGCCTAGCCTAGCCTAGCCTAGCATAGCCTAGCCTAGCCTAGCATAGCCTAGCTTAACCTAGCCTAGCCTAGCCCAGCCTTGCCTAGCCTAGCCCAGCCTAGCCTAGCCTAGCTTAGCCTAGCCTAGCCTAGCCTAGCCTAGCCTAGCCTAGCCTAGCCTAGCCTAGCCTAGCCTAGCCTAGCCTAGCCTAACCTAACCTAACCTAACCTAACTTAACCCAACCCAACCCAACCCAAACCCAACTTAACCTAACCCAAACCTAAAAGTAAAAAAAAAAAATAATCCCACAACTTTAGCGCTAGCGGCCAGCCGTATAAATGTGCCTAATTATTCATCGATTTTCCTCGAGCGCTATAAAATTTAAATTACCTCTTGGCCCAGCTAAGATAATTACTTACTCGTCTGTGTGAGTAATGTAATTAATAGTCGTGGACCATAATAAGGCGCTGCCATGTGTTTAATGTATGAGCCAGCTGCCGGCTATATCAAAGTACTGGACTATATTGATGACGTTATTAAGTCTGGGGTCAAGGAAAGGTTATGACCTGGAGGAAAGTGTTGGCAGGGAACACCCCCCCCCCAACCCGAAAAAAGGGCGGTAAAACGACTTTAGACACAGGGTTAATGTGTTGACCAGAATAAAATCAAACATGTGTTCCTTTGATTTTTTATATCGATACTGTTTATTATACTAGTGTTTTCAAAAACATTTGCGAATTTGTTTACTTTAACAGTGACTTTGTGACCATGTATTGATTTCCTCACTGCAACATAACCTAACCTAACCTAACCTAACCTAACCTAACCTAACCTAACCTAACCTAACCTAACCTAACCTAACCTAACCTAACCTAACCTAACCTAACCTAACCTAACCTAACCTAACCTAACCTAACCTAACCTAACCTAACCTAACCTAACCTAACCTAACCTAACCTAACCTAACCTAACCTAACCTAACCTAACCTAACCTAACTATATATCAATGTGAATACAATAACTATAATAGAAAAAAATAAAACGTATGCGTCTATATGGTCCTTACAGCATTTAGCGGAGTAGATTTTCTGCACTATATCACGTGGTATTTGATAACCGGTTCCCAGAAAAATGCGCATTCGGAAAACAGGGCAAACAGAAAAATGCGCAAATGCAAACTAATTATACTAAACGCTTTAATTGTGTCATATTTCATTATACTACTGCTTACATGAAGTCCTTCATTGTAATTTCAATAATACTCGATATAAGAAAACTAAAATGCCATTGTGTACTTTTTTAGCACAGTTTTAAGTTGCTCAGTTTTCCGTTGCGCATTTTTCCGTTGCGCATTTTTCCGTTGCGCAATTTTCCAATCACCTGATTAACCATTCGTAGTGCCCACACACAAGTTGCTGACAAAATATTCATAGACGTCAGGTTCGGGTACGTTCGGTTATTGATGGACACGACGAAGCCGCAGTAGAACCAAAAGTTTTCTTTGACGGATTTTAACTGTATTATGACAAGATATTTTTCATCGCTTCTCACATGAGTAAAAGATTAAAGTTAATAAGCGCTGCTGTAACTTTGGTCTCGATTATGGTTTTTTTAAAAATAAAAACTCTTCTTTCACTTCATTTGAGCAGTTGATTTTATCGATGTTTGTTCCTTGGTATAGTTTGATTCGATCACAAATCAATACATAAAATCAATCAAATGCATTAGTCAGATACACAACACTTCTTTTGATTAACTCAGAACAATATCTCTGAACTTGCTTTTGCGTGGATTAAGAGGATTATACATCAATTGACAAAAATACTAGACGTTTGATATAACTAGCTCAATAATCATTTAATGTTTTAGTAGTATGGATTTATTGATCGCTTTTCAAGAGCAAAATGGAAATAGAATATGCAGGCTGAATAATACGATAGTTAACACAAAAAGCAAAAAGTATACAATATAAAATTAGCTTGTAATATCCTATCAAGAATGGGATAGAACTAGGATATTTTAATATCCTTATTTCTACCTCGATTATAACCTTTCTGATAAGATAAAGATAGTTTTACATTAAACGTTACGTTTTTATTATTTAACTATATAAATATAGGTAGGTAAGAAAGACATTAAGATAAAGCTACGATGACAATCCCCCCACCCTTTCCCCTTCTAATATCTCTATAGTGTCCAACAACCTGACCTTTAGCTAGCTTTTCTTTATTTAACCTCATTATATTTTAACATAAATATAAATTGCATATAAATGTACTCAATTCCTCGAAGATTAATTTATACTAACTATTTATTAATTATTAATTTTTGACCGCAAAAAAATACCAACCAGTATGTTTTATTAAGCTTTAAATTGTCTATAATTGTCTTTCATTCTTCGTTCTACCTGCGTTTTACCCATCAATATTAAATCAAATGTGAACTTTAATTTCATGACATTTCCGCATCACACAGCACATTTTCTAACAAGTTTCTTGACATTTTCAATTTTCCTGTTTTCCTATTTTTCTTTTACATTTTATGTAGGCCTACATTATATATTTTTTTAATTCTATAAACACTCTTACTTCGTTTACATTTTTAAAAAGCTGCCTTTCAAAGTTCGATAATGTTTCCGTATTTCTTCAATTAAAAAAAAAAATGAGTTTTAAGAAACATAAACAACATTTTCATTTCGTTTACATTGTTATATATATTTTTAATTCTATAAACACTCTTACTTCATTTACATTTTTAAAAAGCTGCTTTTCAAAGTTCAAGAATGTTTCAGTATTTCTTCACTTTAAAAAAAAAGAATTTTAAGAAACATAAACATTTTCATTTCGTTTACATTGTTATATAGGTCGTCTCACAAGTGTCCGAATATTTATCCACATGTTATTTTTACATTGATTTTATAAACTTCCTTCAAAATTTTCATTTCCTTTGCACTTTTATGTAACTTGTTTTTCGGTAACTTCCTAATAGTTCGCCAATTCTCCACAGCTAATTTTCTACCTGAGCTTTGCTGTTAACCTGGGCATCTACCTGACCTGCGGGGACAGTTTCCGGAAACAGTTCAAGGAGACCTACTTCCCGTATTGTTTTCGTCGCTCCCCACCCCCTGGTTGTAGTGAGATGACCGCCATGTCCACAGTCCGACTGGAGGAATTGGACAACAAAAACGAGGACCAGACTGCGCTGATAGAGAACAGTCCCACGGTTGCTAAGGAAAACAACAACACATGTTCTTGAGGCTAGCAGGGGCGTTTTCAGCTTAAGAGGGGCCCCTGGTAGATAACCCCCTGTCTAAAAAAATACAACGTGTTTTTTAATGCTGGTAAGGCGTTTTAAGTTTAATGCCACCTGTGTAGATAGGCATCAGGGTCCATAACTCAATACGAGCTATTGAAGCTTGCAGGGGCGTTTCCAGAATACATGGGGTCCCTGGGTAACATGAACCCCAGGAAAAGAATCATTCGGGGTTCATAATATTGAAAAGATTGTTCACGGCTTGTTGAAAATATAAATCAAGGTCTGTAGGCATCTAAAATGTGTGAGGTATTCGCTGGAGAGCGTCAATTTTGTTCCGCTTCTGCAGAAAGTTGAAGCTAAAGTAAGAGTAAGAAAATGTAGGAACGTTGCTTAAGTTTTACCGTGGTGTTTGTTATTCATATTGTGTGATACAAGAGCAGTAAAACTAAAACTAACCTAGCAGCGTAAGGTAATTCCCCACCGTAAGTCCCATGGCAAGTTTATATAGGCGGAAACATTGCTGACTAATTCAGCGTATACTAAAAACGTCAATGTTTAAAATGGTACACTGAATAACGATGCTACTTTTTGACCAGATATGTTTCATTGTATTGGCGGATGGGAAGTAATTCAGTATATAAGAGAACTGGCACTATCTTTGATTACCTACCTTGACTATAACAATTTCTCTTTAGAAAAGGTTTTATTTTATATATATATATATATATATATATATATATATATATATATATATATATATATATATATATATATATATATATATATACATATATATATAAATGAAAGATTTTAGTGATAAATCATAACACAGTTGAATTGAATTCGAAAATGTGTTCATACTATATGTCATTTTAAAAAGAAAAAAAATACAAAATTAATTTTGTTCAATTGTTATATCACCATTTCTATCTAAATTTCATATTTTAAAAATGTAATTTTGATTTAAACATAATCATATGCTATGTAATCAAATGCTGTGACTTAAATATTGTATTATTTAATGTTTTTGTTTTGTAATTGTTTGACTTAAGGGGCACCATAGGATCAGTATTTCAAGTGCAAAATGTGTTAACATTACATTGTTTGTATGTTAAGTTTTTAAGCAATAGATTGTTTACCTAGGTGAGTGTAGGCAAACTGTAAAGACCTCAACACCATAACTACTTGATTAATATATGTTCCTTGTTGCACTTTAAAAGTGTGATCATTTTAAGGGGCAACAACCCCACTTTGTAAATCTAATACTGTGGTTTAATATTCATGTAGTACATCTTTTTACTTAATTTTACACTACTTTGATATTAAAGTTATAGATTTTAATTGAAAAAGGAATATTGTAATTAGAATATAAAACTTCAATTTATTGCGAAAAATAATTAAAGGATATTCAATATTGGTACATTTTCTTTATATCTTAATTTTAAAAAGATAAGAAAAAGCATAGTACTTTGTTAACATTTATTCTTCTATTTACATTCTATCTTAAACACAGTTATGATTTTTACTCAGTAAGAACAAAAAGTAATCAATTTCTAAATATTCCGAATTGTAACAAAACTTTCGGTGTTAGCTGTGTATTCATTTTGAATCGTACCCTTAGCTTTCATTTCAGTTTTCAAAAAGATGAATTTTTCATCAAGAATGTTATTTTTGTCAGGTAAATGTAATCAGGAATTTAATCATCAATACTATTTTTTTTTATTGGGCCATAGACAAAAGAGTAATATAAACCCCATTTTAAATAACAATAAGTTACATTTTACAAGGGTATTAAAAACATTGTATACTACAAGGCTTACATTGTAGTTATGTTTCGAGTGTCAGAGTATGCATGCCAATACCTTTCTAGCGCACCTATATTGCTGCTACCCTATGTAATCCCTGTGTCTATTTTTAGATGTCCCGTGAACCCAGCTTTTAACGATACTGACATTGCAAAAACTGTGATACAACTGTATAATATCTTCTTCATATCTCAACCAAGCTGTTCGCGTGAGGGTTGACTGAGGCTTTTTGTTATCGGTTATGTGTGATGGGTTATGTGTGATGGGTTATGTATGATGGGTTATGTGTGGGTAGTGGCGTCATAAGGCTGGGGTGTGTGTGTGGGTGGGGGGGGGGTTCTGGTCCGCACCGAATGACACTATGTATGGCGTGACATCATGCCGAAAAAATCATGACATTTTCTGTTAAAACAATGTTTTATCAAGTTATGATTTTTTTTAAAAAAGGTGGGGTGACACCTAAACGAAGATGCAAAAAAGTTGGAGTGACGGGGGGTGACAACCCTAAGATACCTTACCGGTGACACCTGACCTAGTGACGCCATTGTGTAGCTGCGTCTTATCAGTTATATGTGATGGACTATATGTCGCCGTGTGTTATCGGTTATGTGTAGTGGAATATTTGTAATTTAATACGTGGTTATATGTTATCGGCTACGTGGCGTTTTTTAGGTATTCAATTAATTCTTAAAGATGTACTAGTATAAACACTTTAGTCGTTATTTAGTTTTTAATGCCAAACTGCTTTCTTTCTTTGAAAAGTATTTCTTTTTTAAATTTTCAAATAAGCACAAAATTCGAATCTGCTGCAAGTATAGAGATATCTATTACCACTGATTTTAAACATAAATGTAATTTGAATAAACATTGTTTATTCGAATTAAGTATTTTCAAATCACGAATCGCACAAATTTAAAAAATATCTTAAACCGTATTTAATATTAATTAACAAAATGAACTTAATTGTTTACTCTATAAATTGATAAATAAGTGCAAACACATTACGATATTTAAAAAATAATTATTCGGTAATATACTGGTGATTTTCATTAAACCTTCATAATAGATGACTCAAAGCTTTCTGTGTAACTAAAGAGATACAACAATACATGATTATGTTATTATTTCAGTGGAAGATCAGCGTGACTGCCAGAATTTGAAATAAAGGATAATTGTATGTGTTGTATAGGGAATTGAAATGTGTTATTTATGATTCTGCTACAAAATATTGTAAATGTGTATAACACATTTGTATGTGTATAAGGGATGTAACTAAACTTTATTCCTTCCTTTTTAGATACATTAAGGTTACTGTTATCAAACATTATTAAACTATACTGCTTTTTATAATTGTACTGTTTAATAAAAATTTTAAATGAGTTGAAAATAAAGGCTTTTATAAATTTTACTGCACCTTATTCACGGAATACAAGACTGGTTAATTTTAGTTGTCTTTATCGTTCTGGACATCGGAAAGCTCTACAAAGTTCCGAATTAATCTATTATCAGTAGGAATATCTCTGATTATTCTGTGTTGTTTATTTTTGTCGGATTAACGTACATTATTATAAAGACTCAATTACAGACCAAATAACTTGTAACAAAAGCAATGTTTAATGTAAATTACAAGTTATTTTTAAATGCTTGTTACGTTATTTATACCGTCGTTATACAGAAAGATTTTCCAGTTTTTCTAACCCTTCCCATTTTTTAAAAATGCATGTTACGTTATTTATACTATCGTTATACAGAAAGATGTTCCAGTTTTTTTAATCATCCGTATTTCCTACTAATATCAATATTTGTCCCCTGAATGTAAATCTAGCTTTTGGTGTCTTGTAATGCGTAAAGTTATCACACCTAGTTTTAGTCGCCGCTTTCGTTTTGATTTTAATTCCGGATACTGTGACTCATAACATATATTATATGATTTTACATGTTGAGTTTTGTTTCACTCACGGATTTATTGAGTCGTGGAGATAATTTGTAACATGAAAATGGCGGTAGTACCTGCTTGGTGTTAGGTTAAATATAGTAGTGTTATGTTGGAGAGAATATATAAATCTCTGCAATTATTTTCTAGTTATGGTACATGAGCTGAATATATAAGTTTATATATTTTGTAGCTGATTGTGAGTGTTGCGTTAGTTTTTTAATAAAATATGATTTTTAAGCGGCATTTACACACTTCAAAAATTATTGTGTAATAATGTCGCTGACTTTCGTGTAAAATGTGTATATGGTGGGGATGAAACTAACATACAAGGGATAATTATCTTAAGGAAGGTAAACTGATTTTATACACTATGAGCGTGGGCTAAACATGTCTAATTATTCAAAACTTTTTAAACGCAATGTTAACTGTTTGTTATCGAGCATTATTGTACTGGGAATTTTAGCGATAAATTAACATATATGACTTTGTATAATTTACAACAATGAAGAAGGCTCAACATTATCTAAGTTGTTGTGTAATGGCATCAATCTTTTGATTCAGGCATTATTTTTCTTTAAAAAAATTGAATATTGAAGTAAATTATACCCATTATATTTAAATGCCCTTAAATGAAGTTTAGTGTTTTTAAGAAATTCTGTTTGGGGCATTATAAATATAAATTCTTGAAATTATTGGAATGTTTAAGACGTATTTCAAGGAAATGTATATTATATTTAAATACATTAATAATTAAACGTATAAGCTTTTGTTCAAATTGTTGAATGTTCATTAAAGAACATGCTATCATGTCCAAATCTACATAGTCCCTCTCTCACTGAGATGCACAATGTAACTTTAGATAAAAACTCACTGACACATACACTTCAGTAGTTTTCTCAAACATATGATGGGCAATGTACAAACTGGTATACATTTGTTGACAAAAAGATTTCATCAACTCTCTTCAATTATAAATCATTGTAACTATGCGGTAACCGTTAATGACAGATGGACGCCAGTCTTCAAATAGACAAGATGATGATGAAAAGATTGAGCAGTGATAAGAAGCTATCGTTTAATAAAGGCAAACATAGTTTAACTTCGTAGAAATGCAGTGATCGTTATATATATATATATATATATATATATATATATATATATATATATATATATATATTTATTCATATGACTCGTGGAGTTTGACCAATCACCCCTGATAGACCGCTATACATACATATGTCGTGTAGTCAGACCAATCACTCGTGACTGACCGCCATACATATACGACCCATGAATCCGA